AGCGGCCGCTGTTTAGGGAGCTACTTGATAATAAATGCTTGTAGGTGTGGCAGGGTCTGGCCCAGTCTGGATTGCATCATTTTTTGAATGAACAGAAGTTCTTAAATTTAATGGAGTCGAGTAGGTCGTCATTTTGCGGTTGGTGTTTTCAGTGTCTTTAGAAATCCCTCTATACCCGGAGATTATGAAGACACCGCCCCATTCCTAGCTTTCAGAACCTGTTATGGCACGGCCTTATACTCAGGCCTTTCATTTCCCTGGAAATAACTACGTGTGTGCGTGACGGAGAGGCGAGTCCTTTGCTTTTTCACGAGGATATCCATTTACTAAGGCATCGACCTGTCCTCATGATCTGCGAGGCCACCTCGGTCAGTATCCGAGTCTAAATACACACGGTTTCGTTCTGGGTTCTCCGCATGGGTCCACTGGTTTATCTATCCTGGAGCCAACACCGGGCTCTGTAAATTACTGGAACTTTCCAACGGATCTGGCAGAGCAGAGTTCCTTCCATGGTGAGGTCCACCTGGGATACCTGCAGTCTCTCTTTACCTCCTGGAGACCACCGATTCCCACTAAAATAAAGGTGACGGTGACAGGTTGAATTGGCTTAAGTCAGATGACATGAACAGATACAAAATGCTACTTAAAAGCCTGTGCAGGCTGCGAAAGACTTCACAGGCCCTTGTGACAAAAGGGACAGTTTCACCTCCCTCCAGGAGGGCAGCTCCCCTGAAGCCCAGCCCATGGAATCTGGCCAGAGCCCGAATCCCCAAATCTCCGCTCTGCTTTTCCACGGCATCCACAGCTGGGGTCGGTGACTCCACGGCTCACAGGACAGAAGCAGTCTCCTTCCCGGGCTTAATCCAGGCGAGTTCATGACCTCTGTAGGGTCCCACGCACCAGGCAGAAGCAGGCAGTTGCCATCTCTTTCCACTTCAGGATTTTAAACTTCCTTCCCCAATCCAATGTCGGGGGCTCGTGCAGCCCTGGGTGTGAGGAAATGGGGACTCTGGAGACAAGCTGGGTGGGCGGGGAACAAGCAGGGGAGTGCACTTGGGCTCAGAGACCTCAGTTTTGGGGAAGGCACCATCTGGAACTTCCGAGCTGGTCAAAGTGACCCCAAAGGTCCAAAGTTCTTGCCAGCAGGGCTTGGACAAAGGAATTGTAGGCTTCAGACGTTTGGGAAGGGACAAAGAGGAAAAGATGGGACCTTTCCTCTGAGAGCTGGGAGACAGGAGTAGGGTCCTTGCGCCTGAGTGACTGTCCCTCTCTCCCACCCCCTCCCCCTCCCTTTTCAAGGATATCCTCAGGAGAGAGAGTTGGAACGTATCTGCCTCTACGAAATACATGCTTAAATAGTTCCGCTTCTTGAACGTTTACTTTCTAGAGAGGCCATGTGAGCGCCAAGGCCTGCAAGGTCTGGTTCAGCTCTCAGACCCACCAGTACCATTACTGTGAGTAACTTTGCTGGCCTCCATTTCCTCATCTGTACAATGGGACGATAACACGTACTTGTCAAGGTCACGGAGAGGTGAAACGAGGTCATGTCCGGGGAAGAGAAGATGAGCAATCAGGAGTGATTTTCGGCCCTTCGTGATGTCTCTCGCCACAAGAGGCGTCATCTCTCCCCTCGCCCCCCTCCTTCGCATTTTTTTTAAAAGATTTATTGAAGTATAATTTATGTGCCATAAAAGTTGCCCGGTATAAGTACACTAAACTAAATGATATTTAGTAAATTACAGAGTTGTGCAACCATCACCACAGTCTAGTTTTAGAACTTTCCATCGCCTCAAAAATTTCCCCCAACCTAATTTGCAATGGATCTCTGCTTGCTCCGCCCCGGGCCCAGGAAGCCACCGATCTGCTTTCTGTCTCTATGAATTTGCCTTTTCTGCACATTTCACATAAATGAAATCATACACTGTGCAGTCTTTGCATCTGGCTTTTTCCACTTAGCGTCACGTGTCTGAGATTCATCCACGTTGCAACATTTATCAGCATTTCATAATGTTTTATTGTCAAATAATATTCTATTGCATGGACAGTCTACGTTTTATCTATTCACCTAATGACATTTGACTGCTTCCAACTGTGGGCTAGTATGAATTAATAGTGCTCCGAACATCTGCGTCCAAGTCTTTGTGTGGATGTAAGTGTTTAATTCTCTCGTGTATATACCTAGGAGTGGTCATATGATACATTTCACTTTTGAAGAAACTGCCAAGCTGTTTTCCAAGGGGGCTTCTCCCACCACGTCTGCACCAGAATGAAGGCTCCAGTTTCTCCACGTCCTCAGTACTTCGGCTTGTCTGTCTTGCTGATCATGGCCAGTCTAGTGTCTGTGTATGTATCTCATTATGGTTTTATTTTGCGTTGCCCTAATGATTAATGATGCTGGACCCCTTTTTATGTGCTTATTAACCCTTATATATCTTTCTTATAGTCAACTATTTTGTCTTTTTCTTGGTCAAATTTTTTTTTCTTTATTCATTTGAGAGAGAAAGGAAGGGAGAGGGAAAGAGAGATAGAAACATCGATGAGAGAGAACATCAATTGGCCGCCTCCTGCATGCCCCCTACTGGGGACTTGGCCCACAACCTGGGCATGTCCCCTGATTGGCGACCTCTTGGTACATGGGTTGACACTCAACCACTGAACCACACTGCCTGGGCTATTTTGTCTATTTTTAAGGTGAGGTGTCTTTTATTACTGAGTTGCAAGAGTTCTTTATACAGTCTTAATACAAGTCCCTTATCAGATACATGATTTACAAATATTTTCTCCTAATTTGTGGCACATCTTTTCATTGTCTTCATGGCATCAAAGTACAGAAGTCTGTCATTTTAATGAAGTCAAATTTACCAATTTTTGTCTTTTGGTGTCGCTATCTAAAAACTCTTTGCCTAATCTAAGGTCATGAAGATTTTCTCCTGTGTTTTCTTCCAGAAGTTCTATAGTTTTAGCTCTCATGTTTGGGTCTGTGATCCACTTTGAGTCGATGTTCTGTGCATGGTGTGAGGTAAGGGTCCAACTTATTATTTTTGCATATGGCTATTGTATTAGCCCACACTGTTTGTTTAAAAAGGTTATTCTTCCCTATTGAATTGCTTGGTACCTTTGTTGAAAATCAATTTGAATGAATTTGCTTCTAGACGCTCAATTCTGTTCCACTGACCGACATGCCCACCCTCCGACAGTACCGCCCTGTCTTGATTACTGCAGCTTCGTAGGAAGTTTCCCAATTGTGCCCTTCTTTTTCAAAACGGTTTTGATTGCTTTGGGTCTCTTGCATTTCCCCATACACTTTATTTATTTATTTATTAATCTTTACCTTAAGATATTTTTTCCATTGATTTTTAGATAGACTGGAAGGGAGGGAGGGAGGGCGATAGAGAGAGAGAGAGAGAGAGAGATCAATGTGAGAGAGAGACGTCGATTGGTTGCCTCCCTCACGACCCTGACCAGGGCTGGGATCAAACCTGCAATCCAGACATGTGCCCTTGACCAGACATCGAACCCATGACCCTTCAGTTCAAGGGCCGACGCTCTAATCGTGGAGCCAGACCAGCCAGGACTCCCCATTACTTCAGGATCAACCTGTTAATTTCTACCGCCCCCCCCAAAAAAAAGTCTACTAGGATTTTGACCGCGATCGCATGGGCTCTGTAAAGCAGTCGGAGGAGAACTGAGTCTTCCGGTCCACAAATACGGAACATCTCTCCATTAATTTAGAGCTGCTTCTATTTCTCTCAGCAATGTTCTGTGATTTCAGTGTACAGACAATGTACTTCTTTTTAAAATGCATTCATAAGTATTTTATTCTTTTTTCGATGCTATTGTGAGTACAATTATTTTCGTAATTTCATTTCTGGGTTGTTCATTTCCAGCGTACAGACATGCCATTGACTTTTGTGTATTGATCTTGCACCCTGTGAATCTTGCTAAGCTTGTTTATTACTTCTCCTAGGGTTTTTGTGGATCCCTTATGGTTTTTCACAATAGAATCATGTCGTCTGTGAATCAAGGCAGTTTTCCTTCTTCCTTTCCAACCTTCTATTTCTTTTTCTCGCCTGCTCACCCTGGCGAGAACTTCGAAGTAGAGCAGAAACGACAAGAGCAAAAGTCCTTGCTTTGTTCCCGATCTCAGGGGGACGGCATTTACCGCGCCACGCTGAAGGCGTTTCTTGCTACTCTACCCGTTTCCCATCGCAACTGCCAGTGAGGTGAAGTGAGAGGGAGAAAGATGAAAGATAAGGGAAGCTAAGCAAACTCCAAAACATGGTTCTTTTCTGACCACAGACTCCATTCAAACAATACATCACCAGAAGGCTGGCCCCTTGTCCTTGAAAACCTGCATGAGGTTTTGACCAGCTGCCTGTGCAACAGGGGTTGGTTGAATAACTTTCGGGTTCTTCATGCAGCCACTAAAAGTAAGCTCAAGAAGATTTTTTTATTTTATTAAAAAAAATTTTTTTTCTTTATTAATTTTAGAGAGAGAGGAAGGGAGAGGGAGAGAGAGACAGAAACATCGATGAGAGAAGACATTGATTAGCTGCCTCCTGCATGGCCCCCACTGGGGATCGGGCCCACAACCTGGGCATGTGCCCAACCGGGAATCGAACCGGCGACCTCTTGGTGCATGGGTCGATGCTCAACCACTGAGCCATACCGGCCGGGCTCAAAAAGATTTTTTAATAGCATGGGAAAGTCTTGTATTACAATATTAAAGAAAAGAGAAAGAGCCACAAAAATAACACTGATGGGCTGATCTCAACACCATAAAGAAATGCGTGCAGGACAGAAAAGAAAGAAAATATGTAAACACCTTCCTATCTGTTTGCCTCTGAGGTGAAAGATGACAGAGGGTTGTTTTTTTCTCATTTCTTTCAACTGTACAGATTTTCACAATAACCATCTTATAGCCAGAAAAGGAAAAGAAAAAAAAAAAACCTGTCCACAAGGCAGACACAAGACACTGGGAGTTGGCAGTTCTGACTTACCTTACAGTATTCGTCAATCGGTATCAGGCGTTTGACGGCCACGTCCCGGATGTGGCTTCGTCGGAAGAGAATCTTGCCTGCACAGAACGAGAGCACACAGCATTGGCAGAGAGCAGTGACGAGCTCTCAGCAAACTGAGGGTGTGTTGTGGATGTCTCTGGTAGGCATGAGTGGTACCCAAATTCCTGGCTGTCATCAATAACCCTGTCGGACATCCACAGGGTCTGGGTGAGCCCATGCATGTTCCTCCAAAGCCCTGTTTACACTTCTAGTGCAAAGGCTGGAGGGAGTAGGACCCGGTGGATACGTTCCGATGAGTTCAAGGAGGCTGGGACCCATCCGTGAAAGGAAGGCGCTCCTACTCGCTGAAGACGGAAGATAGACCCGATGACCCGAGAGGACCTCTGTCCAGCTCCAGGATCCAGGCTGCCTGGGCAGTCCAGCAAAACACTCAGACACACGCTAGCCTAACAGTCAGTCTCCTTTCCTCCTCTCTCTCGTACACCTTCTTTCCGCTCTAGGCTACGTCCCCCAGTGTTCGTGTGTCTCATGATTCCGTGCCTTTCCCTCTGCCTGGAATATCCAACCTCACCCACCCTCCCTGCGGGAAAACTCGTACCCACTTCACATGGGTTAAGAGGTCCTTTCGGCCTGCACACATCACCGTACTGATTCACTGGTCTCCTATCGGTCAAGAGGCTCTGCACAGACAGGGACCGATTAGGCCTCAGTCAATTTTGTGCCCTTGCCATGTGCCGCCAATACCTGATCAATGTATGGAGGTGGCTTCCACAGGCAAAGATGACAAACCCTCCGATTTCTTTCCTGATCCGTGTTTGCAACGGAAGGATTCCAAGCCTTCCTACCTCACTGAACACCGACAGCCTGTCCACTACTTGCCCAGTGACATCTGAGCTCTGGGGCGAGGTACCAGAGCCTCCAGTGTGAGAGACAGAGCAGAGGATATGGGTCACAGGCAAAGACTGTGATGCCACCAAGGGTCCCTGGAAATATCCGAGACACTGAAATGTTATGGGTGAGGTTCGTTTAAAGCAAACCTGTGGGTTCCCAAGAGTTTGTGATGTTGGCCAAGTGCACGCGCTGAGAATTAAGCGAGCATGAGCTCATGGTTCTGGGCGCATCACACACAGGCAGGGGCGGGCAAATTCAGAAAAAAGACACCACGGAGGGCCAAAAAGGTGGGAGATGGGGACAAGCCCCTCTGCCACGCTCACGCAAAGCCTCCAGGAAGTGTTCAAAGAGGAAGGCACAAGGAGACCACAACACACCAGAGGGCAGAGCATGGAGACCCCGGAAAGCTGGCCGGGCAAGGAGAGATGAAGCACTGTCCTGACCCGCCCCGGCGAGTCTGCTGCTTCCACCGCGCAACCCTGGGCGAGCAGGAACAGGACAGCAGGAAAGGCCCAAGTTCTCATGACAGCACAGAAGCGAAAAGGGTGCCGGGAAAAAGCTGACTGACTTTGAAAGATCTGCAATGCAGACGGGCAAGGAAGGCGTGCAAGACCATGTAGCTAATTCAACATTTAAAACAATCACGCGGCGTGCTCTAGGGTCAAAAAGCACTGTTAGGAAATCAGGCAGATACTGTCAGGTTAATTGAGCCCTTCTTTTTGGCTCATTTCCACCGATTAAAAAAAAAAATTCCCACAGTGAGCTGAAATACATATTCCTCCTATTCCTTAATAACTAAGAATCTCCTTTCTTTATAATAGTGATAGTTGTTTTTCTTTTTTATCCTCACCCGAGGACATTTTTTTTTTTTCCGTTTTTTGTTCAGATAGAGTGGGAGGGAGAGAGAGAGAGATAGAGAGAGAGAAACATCGATGTGAAAAGGACACATTGAGTGGCTGCCACCCGCACGACCCAACCAGGGCCGGGGACAAACTGCAACCGAGGTACATGCCCTTAGCGGGAATCGAACCCGGGTCTCTCTGGACCACAGGCCGACGCTCTAACCGCTGAGCCAAACCGGCCAGGGCAATAGTGATAGTTTTAATTCTGCTTAAGACTTGGTCAAATTTCTGATACACCATGCTTGTTAGAAAAGAAAAATCTAGAAGGAAAGGCATCTCAGGGTTCAGAGTGTTTGTCTCTGAGGGGTGGAATAAAGAGACTTTTTGTTTTCTTCTTTATACTTTTGTCCAAGTTCCTACCATGAACATTTATGGCTTCAAGAATCAGAACATCTTCATGTCGTTTAGAACAAAAAATGCAGATAACGCAGCCACGTGGGAAGGGGTGTGCAACCTGGCTTCCTGGGACCGAGGACCGACCCCTCCTCCACGTGGGAGGTGTGGTCTCCATGCAAATCCTCTGTGTGCCCGCACTGGGCGCCGCCCGCCTGGCACTGAGGACAGGTGTTCCCCAACAGGCAGGGACCCCGCTGACATTCCAGGCCCAAATCCAGGGGGTAGCCTTCTCATGCCCCTCCACCCGGGGTCACTGTGAGAATCAGCTCCCTGGCGTGGGTGGGAATCAGAACCCTCAGCCTTGTCCTGAGCCTTCGGGGGGATGAGTGTCTGTATATCAAATGCTTCCAGCCCTCTAATCTACTTCTCAAAATGGAAGAGGAGTCCCTACCAAAAACATTGTGTCCCACTTGGGTAGAATTTCCCCTTCTGTAAGTCGGAGGAAGGGTGGAGGAGCAGGGTGCACAGGCTTCTCACGGAGAAGGTGGTGAGCCGGCTCAGATTTACGACAGGCACGGTGCTGGCACCCCCTCACCCCTCAACATCAAGGCTGGCCCGGAGCCACCACCAGCGACGGGAATTCACCCGCCAGGCCTGCAGGGGCTGAGACCAGGCAGAGAACTCAGCTCCTTCAGGGTCTCCAGGGGGTGTGACACAGTGACAAAGGCATCACTCCCCCCGTGCAGCCTCAATGGGTCAGGAGTCTCTGGGCAGGCACGTCAGGTGTCCCGCCAGCAAGGGGGACAGGCGGCCTCGTGTCAATCATGCCACCATGGGAAATGCGCAGCCCCGACCTCTTGGTGGAAGTCATTCCACACCCAGCGCAGGGCATAGACCCAGGGCAGGTGGCTGCACTGAAGACCACGTGACTTTTCTCAGCCCCCCCCCTCCCCCCGCTTCATTTCCTAAGACCTGCCTGCGACTGGAGTCCCTGCTCGGGCCCTGGCCGCAGGGCAGCACCGTGTGGCCAGCATGTCCTGGGCCAGTACCTCCCGGGGGAAAGGCTGACAGGACCTCGGCCCCTCGTCTGCCTCGGATAAGTGCTTCTGTGTGAGTCACGGGGCAGAGGACGAGCGAGTGCACCGAGCTCCATTCCTCGCTGGCTGGCCGGCCGGCCCGGGCTGGAAGGGGTGCGGGAGGAGCCTCTGGTGGGAACGAGCAGGCTTTTGTTTTCCACCGTGGAGGAAGGCCAAACTGTAATTTTTAATTTTCAAGCGGCGTCCTCTGCCAAGTCGGCTGCCCCAGCTCTGCCGGGGTGGAAAATTGAACAGGGCGGCTCGCCCCTCCCCCTGCCTTTGTGCTCACACGAGGCGGCTTTTGTTCTGCGGACGTGGCAGGCTCGGCAGAAAACTGACCCCCAGGAGAGGGACCGGTTCTCCCGCAGGTCCCTGCCCTTGGCCCAGGCCTTGGGGAAAAGCGAAGAGGTGGTCTGGGAAGGGACGCTCCAGGCGTCCGGGGCCCAGCGGGACCTCTCCGAGCTACAGTGGGTGCCTTGAGCGGGGACATGGGGCCGGGTCCCCGAGAACAGCACGTTCATGAATTCGTGGGAGGAAAAGAATTACGTAACCACGAAAGCTTCCAGGGGCTTGGGAGAGGGTCGGCTCAAGTTCTTCCCTGTCCTGGGAAGTTTCTCCAGGGCCAGCTCTGACTTTCATCCAGTAAGACTTCTAACTCACCGCTCGCCTTTGCTGCCTTGGAGAAAACCTTACATTCTGAGCCCGGTTCAACGTGAATATTAACTGACCATTTAAGTAACGACTCCAAGATAGGAAAAACCAAGACATCCCAAAGGAATATCATGGGACCCTGTTTCTGCCTTGACTGAGAACCTACTGTGTGTCCAGGAGAGACGTGTGTGAGGCAGGGATCATGTCCCACTTTACAGATGTGGACACCGAGGCTCGGCGGGGTGGGGTGGACGCCGCCCGCGGTCACAGGGCTGGTCGGTTTGACTCCAAAGCACATGCTCTCGAGAACTGACATTTGGCTCTTGTGGCTGGCACTCCTGGCTTTCTCCAAGAGGAACAAAATTCCAGCGTGATTGCACACTCTCCCCATGGAAGAACTAAAAACATTCGCTTTTTTAGGCAAATGATCCTCCCATTGCACTGGGGGTCTGGCAAACACATCCACCCGGTCTCTAGCCCACTCGACAATGACGACATCAGCAGGAACCCACTCCTGTGCCAACCACAGTACCCTGGTGTGGGGGAGGGGAGCCTGGGCTCCCGTGCGATCTGGGGCGTCTCCCCCACTGCTGGGCCTGTTCCCTCTTCTGCAAAATGAAAAAGATCTGAAGGGTCCTTCCAGCACTTAACTACTTGTGATTTAGGGTGATTGTCAATTTGCTGATTATCTGTACATAAAAGTAACAGTAAGTTACTTTTGATGGCTGCTAGTTCTGTGCCAGGCACTCCCCTACGCCTCGTAAGAACTCTTACGTTCCATGATTATCTCCAATCTGCAAATGCAACTTTGTGTGCTGAAGTAATTCCCCCAAGATCACAGAGGGGCTGAGCCTCAACTTCTGCAGCTGTGAAATGGGCACAGTAACGCCTACCCCGCAAGGCTGCTCCGAGGACTAGACGAGGTCACCAATGGAGAGTAGTTGGCCCAGCCGCCGCACACCACAGACATGCAACCAGTGACAGCTGCTGAGACAATAACACTGTTTCGGGCGGCCCAGTCTTTGAGCTGAGGCCTGATGCTATTCCCTTGGTAAGAAATTTTGGGGGAGGAAAGGGACATGAATGTCTTTATTACGTTAACTCCTCCACGGTGCCTAGAGTGGTACCTACTCAGAAGGTCCGTGGTAGGTAGGCAGGTGGAAGTTCTAAAATGCACCCCCCCAAGATGTCCCACCCAAACCCTGTGGTATGATGGGATCTCACTGCTGGGGTCCTGTGCCCTTACACCCCAAGGTTCACTGTCAGAGAGAGAGATTAACCTGCCTTAGCCAGGTGGGTACGACATCATCACACAAGTCCTTCAAAGCAGGCAGCTTTCTCCGACGGGCCGCAGAAGGGGCAGCCAGAGACATTTAAAGCAAAGAAAGAGCCCTGGCCGGTTTGGCTCAGCGGTTAGAGCGTCGGCCTGCGGTCCAGAGAGACCCGGGTTCGGTTCCCGCTAAGGGCATGTACCTCGGTTGCAGTTTGTCCCCGGCCCTGGTTGGGTCGTGTGGGTGGCAACCACTCGATGTGTCCCTTTCACGTCGATGTTTCTCTCTCTCTCTCTCCCTCTCTCTCTATCTGAACAAAATATCGAAAAATGTCCTCGGGTGAGGATAAAAAAAAAAAAAAAAAAAAAAAAAAAAAAAAAAAGCAAAGAAAGATTCAATGCCTCGTTGCCGGTCTAAGGACGGAAGGGGCCGGAGGGGGCATGCGGGTGGCCTCTCAAAGCCCTGGCTGGCGGTGAGCAAAGAGACAGGCATACCATTTCTAGAGCTGCAAGTCACCAAACTCTGCCCAGATCCTCCAGTGAGAGTCCCGCCTGGCCAAGACCTTGATTTTGACCTTGTGAGACCCTAAACAGAGTACCCAGCAGAGCCCACCAGGACTTCTGACCAAGAGAACCGTGAGATAATAAATGGGCGCTATTTTAAGCTGCTAAATCGGTGGCAATTTGTGATGCAGCAACAGAAAACTGATACAGTAGCCAAAATAAATATCACTCATGATAAAACTTTATGAGCTTAATTATTCCCCTTTTAGAGGCAGGAGAAACAGGCGCCCAGAGGCGACGTGTCCTGCCGAAGCTGGCAAACGGTGCAGTGTATACTCTTAGCCACTATTTTCACAAAGGACGGAGACTCTGGTCACTGGGGACAGTGCCCCAAGAAAGACCAGCCGAGATATCTGGGAGCAACACTGGATCCCCCACAGGCCCCATCTCAGAGTATGCGCCTCACCTACCTGGCAGGAAGGGGATGATCCGCTGTTTGGGGTCCTTCTGGCCTCCTTCCATGGGAAATTTGTCTAACATCTGCATCTGTACCGGGGGAGAAGACCAAAAGATATGAGCGCGCATCTCTGCCCCGTCGGGGAATTACCTAGAATCTGTGACCTGAAATACCAAAGCTCACTCTGTTCAGCTTTTCGAAAACACGAACTCGTGGGCAAGTCCATGTCAACAGGACCTAGGATTTCCATGAAGACAATTCTTCCTGGCCACAGCTGCCAGATCCGTGAAGGCTCAGAGCTGGGAGAGACCAGTCTAGGTTTTCCCAGGGGTCTCCAGCCACAGGACCTGCAATGTGACAACATCCCCAGGGCCACTGGAAGTCTGTGGATGGCAGGCCATCCTGTTTCCTTAGAACTGCCAGGTGGTGTTAAGGAACAAACAACCGAGATACAATCATTACATTCCCCTGCCCCACGGAGAATTCCCCAGGTTGGCTCAACAGACAGCTCCGTGCCCGGCTCAGTGCGGGCCCACGACGTCGTGATGAAAGGCTCAGTCTAGAGAGGAGGCTGAAAAGGAAATCGATAATTACAGGGTGGTGTCAGAGGCACCATGAGAGGAAAGTGTGGGCTGCTGTGGGGACAGGGGAGGGACGGAAGCAGAGGACCCAAAATGAAAACCTTTCACAGTGCAACCCAGGCCTCTCTGACCTCTGAAGGAATTGATGCGGGGGATCTGATTTGATACACAAAATCACAAAGATCTGCCACCTGAGGTCTTGGGGAAGTGACATACCTTGGGCCTCATCTTTAAGTTGGTCCAAATGAGGCCAAGTTGCAGCGTTACTTTATAGATTAAAGCTGGACTGTGGGGTCATTGGTGCTGTCATCAGATTTCTGATCCTTCTCTGAAGCATGTGGTTGATTTGAACCTCCCCCCCACCCCCTTCAAGTGGGATGTGGTCAATTGCGTGTGAGCAGAAGAGACATGTGTCACTCGGGGTGGAAGAGTTATGAGTGGTGCGTGAGTCACCCTGTCCATTTCCTTCTGCCATGGTAACTGGCCACACTCCAGAGAGTGGCTTCTCTGCCAGTGAGGGTCCAGAGCCCCAGACCACCTTTGGTGGACATGTAGCCTGAGTGAGAAATAAACCCTTGTTGTATAGCGAGGCTATTTGTCATAGCAGCATATCCTAACCCATCCTGACTGGTCTATGAGCCCAGGACTCCAGCAGAGGGAAAGCCACCTGGCACTCAAGATGTGTCCTTCTGATGGAATGAAAGAAGCCCGGGGGAAATAAACAGCTATTGTGTAGGCATTTGGGGAGGGAGGCGAGGACTTGAAGCAGATGAGAAGAGAAACAAGTACCCATGCCAAGCGTGGACTAGATTCTTCAAACACATCCCCTCACTTAATCTTCAGAATACTCCTTCAAGCGGGACATTACTATCCAGGAAACCAAAGCCCAGAGAAGTGAAGAAATGTTCCATGAGCCTGGAGCCAGCGAGAGGCAGGGCCAGAGACCAAAGCCCACGTGCTTCTCTGCCGGCTCACCACCTCGGAGATGCTCCGAGGACAATTAAACAGGATTGCTCCTCTGCACTCAGGAAACGGGCCATTTTCCGGGGCTGGGGCTCCCTGCCTCCTCCACGCTGTCGTGACGCCCCTGCGTGGGGGTCAGGCTCAGCTGGCAGCACTCTGAAGGGGTGCCTAGGAAGCTGCGGTTTTATTTGTGGCTTCTCATCCGCCCCCACTCTGTGCTTGGTCTGCATCTTTCAGCAACTGCTGAGGGGCCTCACTGGAAAAAGCAGGCTTCCCTTTTTAAATCAGGAGCTTTTCAAAACCAGCAGAGTAGGCACTCAATAAAAACTGATCAGATAAACGAATGCAACTGAGTAAAATTTAGGAGGCAGCTTTAGGACACGTTGGCCAAGTCCTCTTGATCAGTAGTATTCGTATTACTAATCTTCAATAATAAGGAGTAACCCCTACTAACATCTGATTGGCAGTTGACTGTTAAGCCTTCTCATACAGGTGATTCTCTCTGACCTTCATAATAAGCCCGTGAAATAAATGCACGATCCCCACGTCACAGACGGGGAAACTGGGGAGCAGAGAGGGACACACAGCTAAGAGGGGGTCTAGCCAGTTCAAATGCCTCAATGTAAATGCCATTCCCTTTCCCCAGGACCCTTCTCTTAAGCAGTTTCGGAGTCATGTGAACATGAAAAATTAACTCGAGATGAGGAAGCTGGATCTTCCACGCACAGGTGAAGAGCAGGGTGATTAATGAGTCTCTGCTTCAGAGGGTTTTAAGGATTTACAGGTTTTATCTAATACTGTCTTCTTTTCCCCTTCTCAATTTTATTTAAGACAAAGTTGGAATACTATGAAAGGGAACTTTAAAAAAAAAAGGTATATACCGCCCTGGCCGTTTTGGCTCAGCGATTAGAGCATCGGCCCTTGAAATGAAGGGTCGTGGGTTCGATTCCCAATCAAGGGCACATACCTGGGTTGCAGGTTCAATCCTAGTTCCTGGTTGAAGTCGTGAGGGAGGCAACCAATTGATGTGTCTCTCTCACATCAATGTTTCTCTCTCTCTCTCCCTCCCTTCCACTCTATCTAAGAATCAAAGGGAAAACAATCCTTGGGTGAGGATTAACAAAAACAAAAAGGTTTGTACCAGTAATCCGTCCACCCCCCACGCCTATGTCCATCCTCCTGGGTTCCCCTTGGGCCCCATCCCACGCTGTAGTTCAGTCCTCCCTGTGTAACTTTCTCTCAAAGGAGGTCACTCTCATGCTTTGTCCTGACTTGCTCGACCCACAGAAGCACGGCCCAAAGAGCAGAAGTGTTATTTACTAATTTGAGGCAGCAGACCTGGGTTTAATGCTGCGAAGTCTAACCACAGATACTTTACCCCTGGAGACCAGCCAGCCCTGAGTTTAACCCCGATGCTTCCTCGTGCCAGCGGTGAGCCTTGGCCGGAGACCTGGCCCGTCCAGTCGGATTTAGCATCGGTGCATGAGGAACACGCCCTGCTGGGCAGGATGTTATGGAAATGAACGCCAAGTGTGAACTCTGGGGACAGCCTAGGTGCTCAGGAAGGAATCTGCCATCCTTGCACTCTGCCCACACTTCTTCTTGTAAAATTGAATTTATTGGGGTGACATTAGTTAATAAAATTATATAGGTTTCAGGTATACAATTCTATAATACATCATCTGTACACTGTATTGTGCGTAATAGATATCTTATTCGGAAAGTTATCTGGGAATAACTTTTAGTAGTTTGTGAGGCTGTGTGGGCTTTTTTATTGTTAAGTATACATAACAAAAATTCACGCTCTCGACCACTCTACAGGTAACTAAGGGGCTTTAAGTACATTCACATTGTTATGCAACCACGACCATCCATCTCCAGAACCTCTTCCTCACTCCGACCTGAAACTCTACATCCATTAAACACCAAGTCCTCATTCCCCTTCCCAGCCCCTGGCAACCACCCTTCTATTCTCTCTGTAAATCTGACTATTCTGGGTATCACCTGTAAGTGGGATCATACAATATTTGTTCTTTGTGGCTGCCTTATTTCATTTAGCATGTCTTTAAGGTTCATCCATGTTGTAGCATGTGTTGGAATTTCCTTCTTTTTTTTTTTATCCTCACCCGAGGACACTTTCGCATTTATCTTCAGATAGAGTGGAAAGGAGAGAGGGAGGAAGAGAGAGAGAGAAACATCGATGTGAGAGACACATTGAGTGGTTGCCACCCACACGACCCCAACCGGGGCCGGGGACAAACTACAAGCGAGGTATGTGCCCTTAGCGGGAACCAAACCTGGGGCTCTCTAGTCTGCGGGCCGATGCTAACTGCTAAGCCAAACCAGCCAGGGCGAATTTCCTTCCTTTTTTAAGGCCGAATAATATTCCAATATGAGGCTGTGGTTTTTTGTTTTGGTCAATCCTCATCTGAGAATATTTTTTACCACCAATTTTGAGAGAGGATTGTGAGGAACAGAGGAAGAGAGAGAGACACACAGAGAGAAACATCACTGTGAGAGACACATCAACTGGTTGCCTCCCGAATGACCCTGACCGGGGCTGGGGATTGAACCTGCAACCCAGATATGTGCAACCCATGTACGTGCCCTTGACTGGGAACTGAACCCATGACCCCTCAGTCTGGGGGTCAACGCTCTAATGGCTGAGCCAAACGGGCCAGGGCTGAGGCTGTGTTTTAAGGCTGACAAAACTCAGACTATCCAAGTCCCCTCGGTGGCCAGTGCTGGGCTGCCCAGCAGGACTTTCTGCCATGACGGAAGTGATCCACACCTGTGCTGTCCCTGACGGCAGTCACCAGCCCCAGGTGGCTCTGTGACTGAGGAACTCAACTTTTAATCATACTTCATTTTAATTAATGTAAACCTACATTTCAATAGCCTTGAGTGACAGTGGTAATTACAGTGAGCAGGGCAGGGCTGGGCTGTGATCCTACCCTCTCTCTCAGCCATACCGGTTCACGTCATTTCCTTCATTACCCTGCCGATGACACCTGCTGTCCGAACGGACAGCTCAGAGGCCTGGGAGGGGTCTGCTTTTGGTCTTAGTATGTCCAGGTTCAAGGGCCACAAGCTGCTTCTCTCCAGGGAACTGTGCCACTTAGCAGCCACAAACTTGGAAGATGACCAGGCAGTGTTCCAGAGGCTCCGGGGGACCCCAGACCCCGACTGTCTGCAGCAGCAGGACCAGAGGCAGGCCCCAGCAAGTCCAACCATACAGGCTGTCTTTGGAAACCAGCAAATCGACACCCCTCCCCCAGATAGTTAAAGGAAGTGGTGCTCAGGGCGAGGGAGACTGGAAACCGAGGAGGAAAGTGAGTCAGTGTCGGGGGCAGGAAGGGAGAGGAGCCACGTCAAACAGCCACCTCACAAGCCTCCAGCAGGAACGAGAGAACACTCCATCAGCAGTTTTCAGGACCCCAGCCTGGGGCAGAGGGAAAGGAGACGTCTGTCCAAGGAAAATACGGTGCAAGCTGGCGTGGACGCCCACACGTGGTTCATGTGAGGGGCAGACTGGACTTGGAGGG